AATAATTTTAAATCAGAGCTACATATCTTTAGTTAAAACTAAGAAGAGCTTTACTTGCTGCCTGGAAAACAGAAACCTAAAGAGTCTACCAAAGAGGAGTTCTAAAATAATTTTGTTACCTTCACTGCTATCCCTACACAAAATCTACAAGGGCAAGGAAAAGGTTTATTGGTGTCTCCATGTTCGTGTATTTGCATACATGTCTGTCCCTTGGTTAGAATAAAAACTTAACAAGGGACTCAATTGTATAATGCTAGTAAGCTCCAGAAAACTCTCTCCCGTTTCTCTATGAAAGATCCAAATGTAAGTTATAGCTTATGGCCAGTAGATTATAACAGAGATTATAACAGAGAAGGCTCCACGCAGGTGGAGGATATTTATTGAACCTCGAAAACATGAGAAGCCAGACCACACTTGTGAGACCACAATCAACTCCTCTCTCCAACAAGGACTGGCCTGTGACCCAATACATGCCAATCATGGTATCTCCCTCCACCCTCCACTTGACAGCTATGACTGATCCATGGGGTCAGCATATGATGTAGGTTGAGCCGGAGTCATTCCCTGGGATTAGTGCATGGATTCTGTGTCAAAGATATGTCCTTTCTTCTGATTTGCCATGCTGGGATAATGTAAAGTTGGGCCCCATGAAGGCTATTAAATTTGACCAGTATAACATGAGACGCAGATAAAAGCAAGAGATTAGAGACAAGAGGGAGGGCAGGAGGGAGAGAGATGGTTAGACAGATCCCAACAGGCACTGAGCCTCCGAGGGCCCTGGTTTTTGCAGCTCTTCCTATTATTCTTGGAGCTGCCTCAGTGTCTCTCCCAACTGCACAAGCCCGAGTTACCTTTTTTACTCGAGGGAGTTTTGAGTTGAGGCTCTGTCACAGTAACAATCACATTCGGACATGTTGGATCTGGGGTGAGAGTAGGAAATCCAAATAGAAATACCCAGAAAAACAGCAAGAGAGATGGCACTGAGCTCAGGGAAAAGGTCAGACTGCCAGGCCAACCACAAAAGGAGGATGGAGAAGCTACAAAAATAAATGAGATCTCCAAGGTAAAAAACTGAGAGAAAAATCTGGAGCTTTGAGGAACTCCTCCTCAGGAGTCTGGAAGATGAAAAGGAATGATGAAGGAGACAGAAGAGCAGTGGATAGAAAAGCAGACAGCTGAGACTAGGAAAGAATTAAAGGGCTTGGGACAGTGGCAGTTAATAATTCAGTCATCACGAGATGAAGAAAGGACAGAAAAATGAAATTCATGTTCATTCACACACATAAGAAATAGCTAAGTGCCTACTATACCATAGTGTGCTAAACAGATGTGGTCACTACTGTCCTGGATCTGACAGTCTTGCAACATAGACAGTCATTAAGTGATCAAGCACACACATAATGGCACTTCAGTAAGTGTTGTCAGAGCACTAGGATAACCCCCTCGGGTCCCCTCCCACTGTGGGAGCTTTTTCTGTCCTCTCAATAAATCCTGCTTCCTAAAACAACAACAACAACAACAAAAACCACTTGACCTATCTGTGGCGCTGGGGAATATGTCCATAGGAAGTGATATCTCAGCTGGAATCTGGAGAATATAAAGAAGGGGGTTCTTCATGAAAAACAAGCCTGGGACAGAGGTGTGACAAGCAGGTCTATGAATGAAGATGTCTTATTCTTGTCCTTTACTCAGTAACAGAGGGAATGGCCTGGGAAGAGGAAGAAGTGCTCACATGGGGATGCCTGGCTGAGGTGCTTTCTGTATGGAAGGTCACTGAGCCCACGAAAACTGACATCTGTTAAGTTCTCTGTCAGTTACTCTTGGTAAGAGAAATCTGGGTTTTATTGCACTAGGTTTGTAGGTTTGTAAGGCTCTTCTATAGGTCCTCCATCTTCTTCTGCCTCCTGCTCCAGAGTCATCAGTTGTCAGACAGCCTATGCAGAGTGTGGTAAGGAGACAGAAGCTGAAACTCGGGTCTAAGATTCTTCTCACCATTTGAAAAATGTGTCGGTTTCCATGCAATGCACTTCTAAATAATTTGAGCCCACTGGGCATGGAGGCCCACACCTGAAATCCCAGCACTTTGGGAGGCAGAGGCGAGAGGACTGCCTGAACCCAAGGGTTCGAGACCAGCCCAGGCAACATGGCAAGATCTCATGTCTACAATAAATGAAAAAATTAGCCAGGTATGGTAGCACATGCCTGTGATTCCAGCCACTTGGAAGACTGAGACAGAAGGATCACCTGAGCCCAGGTTGTGGTGGCTGTGAGTATGCCACTGCACTCCAGCCTGGGTGACAGAGTGAGACTATGACTCAAAAAGAAAATAACAATAATATTAATACTACTAATAATAATAATTTGAGTCCTCCTGGACATGTGAGAATACATTTTCTATTGGTTTATAAGGCTTGAAGAATGCTTTACACACAATCTATACTAAAAAAAAAAAATTTCTGACTAGACGGTGTATAATAGAGAATGAGGTTGGAAAGCAACAAAAAGGAGGCAGAACAGACAAAATAATAATAAAAGGTGTTTTACATACAGTCTCATATATTTCTTACAATGACCCCTGAAGTAGGTAGCTTTATTCATATTTTACTTGAGGAAACTTAAGTTAGGAAATTTTCTCAAGATTCCAGTTAGTATGTGGCACTGCTGGACTCAAATCTAGCCCTCTGAAGTCATGCACTTTACCATTGTGCTATATACTCTGTGAAAAGAGCTAGTTGATTTATGTCCAAGCTATGGTGTGGTAGGTCTCTCAGATGAGGTAATCTACTCCACCTGCAGTTAAGTAGTAGGCTCTAGAGTCATTTCTTTGGCCGCCAGTGGGACTGTCCCACTCAAACTGAGTTGTTCACTCTAGTTAACACCACATCTTCTGAGATCCCTGTATATATTCTTGTTCAAAGTATTAAGAGGATATACAGAGGAAGAATATTAAACTCATTCATCAAATAATTATTGAGCAGCTACTATTTAACAGATCCAATTTTAGGTACTCACCAGGAATACAATGCTTCCATTTAGTGGGGAATGCAGACCCAGATACTTCCCATTTAATGGGGGGGGAACCATACATGCAACTAGAATCATTCTTCCAAACGCTGAGAAGTTAAGGAGGTCTGGGTTTTAAAGGAGAGGAAGCAGGGCCTCTGACACACACGTTTTCTGTTAGGATGACTAGTGTGTTGCTCCATCTGAACACCAACAGGTGTGGTGCCTGGGAAAAAAAAACCATAATTTCACATGATCAACAACACATGCTAGTATTTTCACTATTGATAATTTCAGAAGTTATCTCCAGCAGATCTCAGGCTGTTCCAATTAATGGAGGCAGAAGTTTGAAAGGGTGTACTCTGTTTCGGGGGTTCCCAACTCTGGGGTGTGGATGGGTACCTATCCCTGGCCTGTTAGGAATCAGTAGCACAGCATGAGGTCAGTAGCTGGCAAGTGGAGCTCCGTTTGCTGTCAGAATAGCAGCGGCATTAGATTCTCATACAAGCACGAACTATTGCGAACTGCACATGTGAGGGATCTAGGCTGCACGCTCCTTATGAGAATCCAACGCCTGATGATACCCGCCTTCCCTCCCCTCCAACACCCCCAGTCGGTGGAAAAATTGTCTTCCACGAAACCGATCCCTGGTGCCAAAAAGGTTGGGAACTGTTGCTCTATTTCATGGCCAAACATAAGTAACTGTTTTTGAATTGTTCGCACTATCTTGGCTAGATCAGAATATAATAGAAACGTATTGCTTCCTCTTTTTTTTTTTTTGGAGGTAGGGTCTCACTCTGTATCCCAGGTTGAAGTGCACTGGCGCAATCCTGGTTCACTGCAGTCTCGGCCTCCCAAGTAGTCAAGACTACAGGCGCTTGCCACCACGTCCGGCTAATTTTAAAAAATCTTTTGTAGAGGCGAGGTCTCCCTATGTTGCCCAGGCTGCAAAGTACTAATTTAACCAAGCCCAAACCTTAAGAGTCTCCAACGAACGGGCAATTACTCTCCGTGTTCTCTGTGTGTAAGGTCCGCAGTATCAGTCCTTTTCCTGTCCTGTATGATAATTCTAAAACTGTGGCTTCCTATCATCTCTAACGGATCAGATGTGAAGAGAGCAGAAGAGGGATGGATGTGGGGAAAGAAAATCTCAAAAGCACTTCGGGGAATACTTAAGAAAATGTTTTAGATAGGACGACTGGGAGGAAACGCAAGCCTTCTCCCTCCAGTACGGCTCACAACCTCAGTAGAAATTATTTGCCTAAAAAGGGAAAAGTCCATACACAGTAACTGGCCCAGAGGCGAGAAACCACAACTCCCAGTGTGCTCCGAAAAAGGGACCGCCACGGCCCATCCTGGCCGGAACCGACTACAACTCCCACTTCAACCTACACCGAACCCACCAGGGCTTTCCCCAACGGCCGGCTGAAGTCCCGCCCCTTCACCTCGTTGCTAAGGCTGGAACAAAAGAGTGGAACTGCCACGCCTTTCTCGACCTTCACGGTCCGACAGCAGCGGAGTCGCAACACGCAATTTAACAATTCTCACCTGCGGTGCCGATCGAATGCCTCAACCCCAGTACCCACCCCTGCAGTTGATACGCATGCGCAGTGGCCTGCTAGCCAAAGGCCTAAGCCTTGGCGCCTGCGCAGATGTTCTCGTCGCACGCGGCCGGGAGCGGCCACCCTATGGCGCAAGCGCCAGTGCCTTCCTAGCGCCATCATCGCGTTCTCTCTATCTAGCTTGCCTTGCCGTTCTTGCGTAGGGGGCGGGACGAAGGTTGTCAATTGGCCTGTTTTCGTGTCAGTCAATGAGATGGATGCGGTGATTGGCGGCAACCCGGAGGGTAGTGGGTTGAGGTGTAAGCCCTGAGGAGGCAGCGTTTTCTCGGCTTCTGTCTGGTTCTCTCTCTCCAGAAGGTTCTGCCGGTTCCTCCAGCTCTGGGTTCTCGGCTTTGCATCGCGCCGCCATGATGGGCCATCGTCCCGTGCTTGTGCTCAGTGAGTTCTGGGAAAGCCGGGGGAGGGACCACCTTTTCGTTCTCTCTCCGCACTTTTCAGTGTTGCCCCAGCCCCATCCCGCCCTGACCCGGCCACTGAGCCTTCGGCCATCGTCTTCATTTTGGAAACCCCGTCTCCCACTTTCCTCTTTTCTCTTAACCTATTCTCCTAAGTTCACAAACGCAAACCGACCTTTCCTTCACCGAGCCTCTCGTCTCTCACGTGCTGGTCTTGGGAAGCGCTTCTTCCATGTTCAGTTCTCCTGCCCCCGCCCCTCCACCCCTACGGCTGCACGAATAATGTTTTCTTGGGCCTGGCTTCATATCCTTGCCCCATCGCCAGGTAGCGGTAATTTAAATGTTTCTATCTTGTTCAGGAGTTTGTAGTGGTTCCTCGTAGAAATGGGAGGGCTAGATAAGTAGGTGAACTGTTTAAAAAAGAGTGCCTGGCAAGTAGCAAGTGGTATCCTTGGTCACCTTACCTGACATTTCTTTTCGGTAACGGTCGTTCAGCATTCTCTGTTCCCGAAGGAACCGTACTTGCCTCACTGATCTTCGATGGAACCGTTCCCTCGGTGTCTCCCGCGTTGCAATCTTTGCCACGAACCAGCTGAGGTTCCCCAAATTTCTCATTGGTTATCTTCTCCCTTTGAGAATATCCCTTATTTTTTTCTGACTGATGAGCATCACCTCCATTGTCTCCCTTTGGTATGTGTTGATTCTGTGTATAACTTGTGGCTTACCTGCGGAATCTCCTAGTATGTCTGACCACCCTTTTCTCGCTCACCATCTTCTGTATACTGAATGTTGTTCAGAGTTTTTGTTCATTATTCCTGTACCTTTTTAGGAAAAAAAAAACAAACTCAAAAAACTCTGGGACAGACGAACAAAAAAACTTGTTCTTTTTGATGGAATGTGGGTCTGTGCAGGTCTTTGGCTACCAATGCCTGAGACAAATGTAAATCCTGAGGGTTGTGGGTGTCTAGATTTTATTGGACTGGATTGAAAGATTTACCGAAAACTGTAGGGGAATGTCTGATTTAGAGAAGGGAGAGAAATAAGCATCATGTTGGTTTGGTTCTCACCACTGGCTTGTCTTGGTTGAGAAGCCCTGGGATAAATGGTACATTTGTAAAACTCTTTTCAGGTCTGCATTAATCTCTGGCCTTAGTGGCTGTAACTGACCAGGCTCCCAATTAAAAATCAAAGGGGCATTCTTACTAGATCCAATTGTGTGTGGCTATAAAATTTATCTTGCAAATTGGGACTCTTTTGAGAGTATTCTAATTCCACAGAATACTGTGGGGGCTGTATCAGTAATTACGCTGCAAATGTCAGTATAATTCCCCCTTTCTATGCAGAAAAATGTGAACCCCCAAACTCTCTCCCTGTGTACTCAAAGCAATGATTGGTCATTTCTTAGGGTCACCAACCCTTTGGTAGTTATGGATTTTTTTTCCCCAGAAAAACATTACAGTATCTCATTTTCTTTCTTTGACATAATCTCACCATGCCCAGCTAATTTTGGGGGTTTTTTTTGAGGTTATGAATCCCAGCTTTAAATACACGAAGGGTTGGTTAGAGGAAAAGTATGGATCAAGATTCCAACATTGAACCATTGCAGGTTGGTTCTTACCAGGAGTTGAAATAAAAAATAAATAGCCATAAGTACATGTGTTTACTTTTTAATAGTTTTTTTGGAGTATGGTTGATGTATAATAACATATTTAAAGGGTACAGTTTGATAAACTTTGATCTATGGATATACCATGAAACCTGTTGCTTAATTTTTATTTTCAAAGGCTAAGGAATAAATAGCTTGTATTCAGTGGGACAATTCTGGACTGTTGACATCTATTTTTATCTATTTTAGGTCAGAACACAAAGCGTGAATCTGGAAGAAAAGTTCAGTCTGGAAACATCAATGCTGCTAAGGTAGGTTTGCATATCTTTTAAGTATTTATAGTAGTTTGGTCTCGGTGTTTCTGGACTTTCAAGTGTGTAATTAGGCAGGGAAAAAGTTGGCCTCTTTTCAGGACATTTCTCTGATGATGGTAGAAGAGAAGCCTTCCCCATCAGATTTAGGATTAATAATCTTCTTATATTAATCTACACATAATTCTTTTGCTGTATTTTGTTTTATGATGTTCTATCTTTCTGTCACGCTAGACTGAGTTACTTGAGGGAAAAGACTATTAATTTCCTTTTGTATTGCTTTTCCACACCATAGATCCTGTATCAGTATTCAGTAACTGTCTTTTGTTTTTGTTTTGTTTGTTTGAGTGGGGGTCTCACTCTGTTGCCAGGATTGAGTGCCATGGCATGATGAAGGCTTACCACAGCCTTGACCTCCTGGGCTCAGGCAATCCTTCTGCCTCATCCTCCTGAGTAACCAGGATTACAGGCTCATGCCACCATGCCCAGCTAAATTTTGGGGTTTTTTCTGTAGAGACGAGGCCTTGCTATGTTGCCCAGCCTGCTCTCAAATTCTTGGACTCAAGCAATCTTCCCGCCTCGGCCTCCCAAAGTGCTAAGAATTACAGGTGTGAGCCACTAGCCTGGCCAGTAAATGTCTCTTGAGTGAAATAATGGAAGTAGCCCTATATCTGATGGAGGGTGATGTGGAGGCAGCTGTCATGGAAAGAAATGCCAAGACATGAGTTTCCAGTAATTTGGACTGCTGGGAAACTGAAGCTTTCGGAGGCATTTCCTCTTTTTTCTTGTGAAAAGTCATTTTTTTATCTGTCAACCCTGAAAGCATTTGGTGGGGGGACAAAAACAGAAGCTAGCTACATAGCATGCTTTAAAGTGGTTGCTGGCTGGGCACAGTGGCTCACGCCTATAATCCCAGCATCTTGGGTGACTGAGGTGAGAGGATTGCCTGAACCCAGGGATTGGAGATCAGCCTGGGAGACTTTGTGAGACCTCATCTCTACAAAAAGTTAGCTAGGCATGGCGGTGCTCACCTGTGGTTCCAGATACTTGGAAGGGAGGTGGAAGGATCATCTGAGCCCAGCATTTTGAGGCTGTGTAGTCTGTGAGCGTGTTGTTGCACTCCAGTCTGGGTGACAGAGTGAGACTCCAACTTAAAAAGTAAATAAAGTGGTTGCCAACTCTACTTTAGGGATATCATTGTTAAAACACTGGCTCTGCAGGTTGCTCATGCTCCCCTTCCCCTAATATGCCAATATGCTTACAGTGTTCTCTGATTTGTGCTTACATGTTTTGTGTTTCCTTTCCATTAGACGATTGCAGATATCATCCGGACATGTTTGGGACCCAAGTCCATGATGAAGGTGGGCTTATCGTTGAGTGAAACACTTGAACTACCATTTTTTTCTTTCTATTTTCTAGGACACTTTAAATACAACTTTTGCTTTTGTCTTAGATGCTGTTGGACCCAATGGGAGGCATCGTGATGACCAACGATGGCAATGCCATTCTTCGAGAGGTTTGTTCTTTTCATTTACTTTCTAACAGTTTTATAAACATAAAGGACCCTTCGAGATAGACATTAGATGGTGATTAGTTTCTCAGGGCTACTATAACAAATTAGCACATTCTGGTTGTCTTAAAACCAACAGAAGCTTATTGTCTTATAGCATAAAGCTAGAAGTCTGAAATCAAGGTGTCAGTAGGGCTGTGCTTCTTCTGAAGGCTCTAGGCAAAAATCCTAGAAGCTAGAAGACTTTTTTTTTTGAGTTGGAGTCTCACTCTGTAGCCCAGGCTGGAGGGCAGTGGCATGCTCCCAGCCACCGTGACCTTGACCTGCTGGGCTCTGGTGATCCTTCCGCCTCAGCCTTCTGAGTAGCTGGAACTACAGGTGCACGCTACCACGCCCGGCTAATTTTTTGATTTATTGTAGAGATGAGGTCTCGCCAAGTTGCCCAGGCGGGTCTCGAACCCGTGGGCTCAGGTAATCCACTCACCTCAGCCTCCCAAAGGCGCGGGATTGCAGGCTGAGCCACCGAGTCCAGCTCTGCCTCAGTCTTTATATGACTTTCTCTTTGTGTGTCTATAAGGAGATTTGGGGCCCACCCTAATTCAGTATCATCTTATCCTGGCTTGATTGCATTTGCCAAAGACCCTACAGTATTTCCAAATAAAGTTAGATTTACAGATTCTCCTTTTTTTTCCCCAAAAGAAAAGGAGTTGTAAAGGTGGTTTACTTAAGATATTTTGGGTGCTGTTTTTGATCTTTCAAGGTATTGTAAAGCAATAAAGGGAAAGGAAATATGTATGGAAACAAGGAACTCAAGTGTTAGAACAAATAAGTTAAGAGGCCTTTTTTTTTTTTTAGATTCAAGTTCAGCATCCAGCAGCCAAGTCCATGATCGAAATTAGCCGAACCCAGGATGAAGAGGTTGGCGATGGGACCACATCAGTAATTATTCTTGGTAAGAGGAGAGTGAAAGGTTGATAAGGAAAATTAAAAATAGCATCTGTATCATATTTTAAGAAGAAAATTCTGTTACCAAGCCACTAAATACAAATATTTAAATAGCTTGTTGGTAATTTTCTATATATTCTTTCCAACTGGATATAAAACATGAATAGGATGAGCTGTGGTGTGTACAGGATCATATGTACAGGTTGAGCTATGCAAATGTGGCTTAAGAAAATGCATTCGATTCTCCTTATTCACTATAAGTTGTATTTTTTTCTTTTATTTTAAAGATGTGGGGTACAGGTCCCCTCCCACGGTGGGAGCTTTTCTGTCCTCTCAATAGATCCTGCTTAAAAAAAAAAAAAGATGTGGGGTACAATTCAGGGTTAGGTTATACAAATGTTTATTATGCTGGTACCCTTGTTGATGAGGTATGCTTCTCCCTCTCCTGGCAGTTTCCCTCAACTCCCAATAAGTTATATTGTATAAACTCTCCACAAACACTGAAGTGGCAAATACTAAAGCATTACTTCTAGAGGAAACCATTGCCTCTGGGTTAGAGTCAGGTTGCTGTAAGCCTCTGGTTACATTACATTTTCATCAACTGATAAATACGTACCTTATTGAATGTGTTTTCTGATTTGAAGAAATCTGTTTAATTCATTAACATTAAACACATGCTCACCTAATATATATTTTCTCAGTAAGGCACATCATGGTCTTCTTCCACTGAGGAACACTAGACAGCACTTGAATACTACAATTAGGAGCCATTTTAAATACTGAAATCAGCCAGGTGCAGTGGCTCTTGCCTGTAATCCTAACACTGTTGGAGGCGTCCTTTCGCCTACAGATTCGAGACCAGCGGTAACTTGGTGAGACCTCATCTCTACAATAAATCAAAAATTAGATGGGCATAGTGGCTCACACCTGTAGTTCTAGCTACTTGAAAAGCTGGGGCAGAAGGACCTCCTGAGCCCCCAAAGGTTGAGGTTGCAGTAGTTATGAGTGTGCCACTACACACTAGCCTGGGCGACAGAGTGAGATTCCGAATCAAAAACAGAAAACTACTGAATGCAACAAAAAGCACAAAAATGTGAAAAACATCTCTGAATTTATCTTTTGAGTTGAATCTCACTCTGTCACCCAGTCTGGAGTGCAGTGACACGCTCACGGCCACCACAGCCTCAAACTGCTGGACTCAGACGATCCTTCCTTCTCAGCCTTCTAAGTAGCTGGAAGTACAGGCACACACCACCACCCCCAGCTAATTTTTTAATCTCTTGTAGAAATGAGGTTTCACCAGTTGCCTGGGCTGGTCTTGAACCCCTGGTCTCAGGCAATCCTTTTGCCTTGGCCTCCCAAACTTCTGAAATCACAGGTGTGAGCCACCACTCCCAGCCAGACATCTTTAAATATACTGCATAAAGGACAATGGTTTACAGTATAATAGCCAAAGTAAGCCTTGTTTGACCTCACCTAGGAATGTCACTGGGTAACTTAAATTTTTGTTGTTCTGTGCATGTCCATGAAAGTCGCAAATACAGCTGGGCTTGGTGGCTCAGCCTGTAATTCTGCGCCTTGGGAGGATGAGGTGAGTGGATTGCCTGAGCCTGCGGGTTCACGACCTGCCTGGGCAACTTGGTGAGACCTCATCTCTACAATAAATCAAAAAATTAGCTGGGCGTGGTAGCACGTGCCTGTAATTCCAGCTACTTGGAAGGCTGAGGTGGAAGGATTGCCGGAGCCCCAGCAGGTCGAGACTGCGGTGGCCGGGAGCGTGCCACTGCACTCCAGTCTGGGCGACAGAGTGAGACTCCAACTCAAAAAAATAAAAAATAAAAATAAAATAAAAGAAAGTCACAAATATTGATTTTGGTCACAAAGTTTAGCAGATGGGTGACTTCACAAATAAGAAATGACATCTCGAGAATAAGCCTTGACTGTACAAGTATACTTTCTATTTTCTGTAGAATCATAAAGTATAATTTCTGAAAACTTGATCTGTTGCCTTTATTGTATAAATTTCAAGTTGATGGTAAAATTTTTATAATGGAAACATTGATTCCCGCCCCCCAACATTGATTTTTTAAAAAATCTGATTGCACACCAGGCGCAGTGGCTCATGCCTATAATCCCAGCACTTTGGGAGGCAGAGGTGAGAGGATTGCCTGAGCCCATGGGTTCGAGACCAACCCAGGCAACTTGGCAAGACGTCACCTCTACAATAAATCAAAAAATTAACTAGATGTGGTGACATGTGCCTGTAGTTCCATCTACTTGGAAGACTGAGGTGGAAGGATCACCTGAGTCCAGCGGGTTGAGGCTGCAGTGGCCGTGAGCATGCCACTGCACTCCAGCCTGGGCGACAGAGTGAGACTCTGACTCAAAAAAAAAAAAAAAAAAAAAAAAAAGCCATGTCTTTCACTGCAAGGAGCAGAAAGCTCAACTCACAATGGCCTGAAAGAGAAAAGAGATTGTTTCATCCTTCAAACAATGGAAGTAGAACAGGGTTTAGAATGGGACAATTTAGGAGTTCAACAATTTGTTCAAGAAATTCTCTGTTTTTCTTCTCTCTGCCATCCACAGTGAGAGTTTCCACCTAGGACTTGCCCCTGTTTTAGTCTCAGGAGTGGCTTTCCTTTGGGACCACATATACCTTCCATTCTTATCTAGTAGGAGAGAGGAAATTAGTGTTTCTGGAAGCAACTAGTAAATTTATGCAAACTGACTTGAATTAGGCCAGCACCCACCACTGGGTTTTGGGGGTTTTTTTGAGTTGGAGTCTCACTCTGTCACCCAGACTGGAGTGCAGTGACATGCTCCTGGCCGTTGCAGCCTCGACCTGCTGGAATCTGGCAATCCTTCAGCCTCAGCCTTCCAAGTAACTGGAACTACAGGCGCACGCTACCACGCCTGGCTAATTTTTTATTTATTGTAGAGACGAGGTCTCACCAAGTTGCCTTGGTGGGTCTCAAACCCATGGGCTCAGGCAATCCACTCGCCTCGGCCTTCCAAAGTGCTGGGATTACAGGCTGAGCCACTGAGCCCCGCCTGTTTTTTGATTTATTATAGAAATGAGGTCTCACCAAATTGTCCAGGCTGGTCTCAAACCCCTGAGCTCAGGCAGTCCTCTCGCCTTGGCCTCCCAAAGTGCTGTGATTACAGGCTTGAGCCACTACACCCAGCTACATTTGTGTACATTTTAAAAATCATGGCAGTAAATAGATAATACAAACAATTTGTGCAAAAGACTTTTGGCATAAGGCATTTCTCTAAACTTTTTTAAAGACAGGTTGTTGTGTTGGTATCTATGTATGTAGTAATTATTTTGCGTGTATATTAATTAGTAAATATACATTTTAAAAGTAGAGGACTTAGCCGGGCTCGGTGGCTCAGCCTGTAATCCCGCGCCTTTGGGAGGCTGAGGTGAGTGAATTGCCTGAGCCCGCGGGTTCGAGACCCGCCTGGGCAGCGAGACCTCATCTCTACAGTAAATCAAAAAATCAGCCAGATGCCTGTAATTTCCGCTGCTTGGAAGGCTGAGGCAGAAGGATCGCCGGACCCCAGCAGGTCGAGGCTGCGGTGGCCGGGAGCGGCCGCTGCACTCCAGTCTGGCGACAGAGTGAGACTCCAACTCAAAAAAAAAAAAGGTAGAGGGCTTTTGACATACTTTCTCATTGAGAGGTATGTATTGGACATTTTTGTGTATAGTATAAGGTATTATGTTCTGTACCTATGTAGTATCAGGTACAAGGTTTGTGTATTTGTTTTAGTAACAGCAGTTTGACTGTATCCTAAGGTGTTGAGGTTTTAATAAACAAGTCAGTTTTTTTTCCCTTTGTGTATTTTTCTATTTTAGAGTCTTTGGGGAAAATGCTTTTCTTTTTTTTCTTTTTGAGTTGAAGTCTCACTCTGTCGCCCAGACTGGAGTGCAGTGGCCGCTCCCGGCCACCACAGCCTCGACCTGCTGGGCTCCAGCGATCCTTCCGCCTCAGCCTTCCAGTAGCTGGAGCTACAGGCATGTGCGACCACACCCGGCTAATTTTTGATTTATTGTAGAGATGAGGTCTCGCCAAGTTGCCCAGGCGGGTCACGAACCTGCGGGCTCAGGCAGTCCACTCACCTCAGCCTCCCAAAGGTGTGGGATTACAGGCTGAGCCACCGAGCCCGGCTTGATTTTTTGATTTATTGTAGAGATAAGGTCTCGCTGCCCAGGCGGGTCTCGAACCCGCGGGCTCAGACAGTCCACTCACCTCAGCCTCCCAAAGGCACAGGATTACAGGCTGAGCCACCGAGCCCAGCTGCTTTTCTTTTTTTTAAAGGAAACTGATGACAAATATTTAGTTAGGAAGATCAAGAAAATAAGTAAACTCTGGGATCAATCTTTGATCATTTATATTATTTATTTTTATTGGCTGGGCTCAATGACTCAGCCTGTAATCCCAGCACTTTGGGAGGCCAAGGCGAGTGGATTGCCTGAGCCCACGGGTTCGAGACCAATCCGGAACACTCAGCAAGACCTCTACAATAAATCAAAAATTAACTGAGTGTGGTAGCACACAACCTGTAGTTCCGGCTACTTGGAAGACTGAGGTGGGAGGATTGCCAGAACCCAGAAGGTTGACGCTGGGGTGGTTGTGAGCTTTTGTGCCACCGCACTCCAGCCTGGACAATGGAATGAGACTCCAACTAAAAAGAAAAAAAATTATTTTTGTTTTTGGTGCCATAATTCAGATACAGACCAAGGTTGCCCTGGCCATAACGCAGGGTACTAACCACTAACAATCACGGCCAGGATGAATTTAACAGCCAAATGATAAACCTTTTTGGGAGAACCTGTTTTGGGGGGGAAAATATGGTATTTTCTAGAAGTATAATGAAGTTATCTTGATAGCCACCTACCTTTTAAAGCATTGCTGTGGTTTTTTTCAGCGGGGGAAATGCTGTCTGTGGCTGAGCACTTCCTAGAGCAGCAGATGCACCCAACAGTGGTGATCAGTGCTTACCGCAAGGCATTGGATGATATGATCAGCACCCTAAAGAAAATCAGGTATTGGGCAGAGGGGCCAGAAATGGATGGTGTCACATATGAGAGACCTGGAAAACTGACCGATCTGTTCTTAGGTAGTGAAGAAAGGCAAGGTCCAGCTCTTTAACACACATACACACAATGTTACATGCTATTTGTAAGTTTCCATGTCAGGCACTGCTGTGGAAAATGTATAGGAAGTGAAATAGGCCTACCTTCCAAGGTTTTAGATTCTCTGTAGGGGGAATGTGTTAAGGAGTTAGATAAATGCAATGATTTGGGACTTAGTATTAAGGTGCTAGATAGAAGCCTGGACAACATAGTGAGACCCCCATCTCTACAAAAAAAAAAAAAAAAAAAGCTAGGCGTGGTGGCATGTGCCTGTAGTCCAGTGACTCAGGAGGCTGAGGTGGGAGGATCGCTTGAGCACAGGAGTTCAAGGCTACGGTGAGTTATGATTAAGCTGCTGTGCTCCAGCCTGGGTGATAGCGAGACCCTGTCTCTGGGGAAAAAAAAGAAAAGATGCTAGATAGAATTTGTTGTTCAGATTGGATGGTACAAACTGGTGATGTAATATCAACAGAAACTCTTAACAAGCTGAGTGCAGTGGCTCATGACTGTAATACCAGCGCTTTTGAAGGCTGAGTTGGAAGGCTCATTTGAGTCCAGGAGTTGAAGACCAGCCTAGGCAACATGCGATCTTCTATCTACAGAAAATCAAGAATTTAGCCAAGCTTGGTGGCACGTGCCTATAGTTCCAGCTACTTGGGAGACTGAGGTGGAAGAATTACCTGGTCCCAGGAGTTGGTGGTTGTGTTGAGCTATGGTTGTGCCACTGTACTCCAGCTTACAGTTGGCAAGTTATGGGAGTTACGGGGATAAGGTTTCACAGAAAAATAATTTGTCTTGATTTGAGTTGTAGAAGTTGAAGAGTGTGTTTGGTTGGAGCAGAAGAAATATTTTCCTGCAAGTTTTGTAAGCTACCAGGCATGGGAACAGATTGCTCAGGGAATTAAAGCGCCTTTCAGGGATAAATTAGTTGTAATCTTGCTGAAAGGCAGAGGATAGACAGAGATTACTTTTTTCTTTTTTTTTTTTTCTTGGAGTCAGCTCAATCACTCTGTCGCCCAGGCTGGAGTGCAGTGGCATGCTCACAGCCACAGCAGCCTTGACCTGCTGGCCTCAGGAGATCCTTCTGCTTCAGCCTTCCAAGTAGCTGGAACTCCAGGTGTGTACCACCACGCCCAGCTAATTTTTTGATTTATTGTAGAGATGAGGTCTCGTCATGCAGGTCTCAAACTCATGGGCTCAGGCTCACCTCCACCTGCCAAAGTGCTCGATTGCAGGTGTGAGCCACCACCCCTGGCTTTGTTTTTTGTTTTGTTTTGTTTTGTTTTAATAGGATCTCACTCAGGCTGAAGTGCAGTGGCACAATCATGGCTCACTGCATTCTTGACCTCCTAGGCTCAGGCAATCCTTCTGCCTCAACCTTCCAAGTAACTGAGATTACAGTGTGTGCTACCATGCCCATCTAATTTTGATTCTTTGTAGAGAAGAGGTCACTGTGTCGTCCAAGCTGGTTTCAGACTCTTGGGCTCAGGCATCCTTATTTCAGCCTCCCAAAGTGCTGGGATTATAGGCATGAGCTGCCTGGTCCAAGATAACCTATTGATGCTCCTTTTATTTTCCTACAAAGGGACATATCCCTCCATTCTGCCTCTTGGCCCATTATTATATAGTCACCAAGGTACAGCTCAGGGGGTTGTTGGTAAGTATCGAGGATGCCACTGAGCACATGACCTGGCCTTCTTTTCTTTAGTACCCCTGTTGACGTCAGTAACCGTGATATGATGCTGAACATCATCAACAGCTCCATTACAACGAAAGCAATCAGTCGATGGTCTTCATTGGCTTGCAACATTGCCCTGGATGCTGTCAAGACAGTACAGTTTGAGGAAAATGGTCGGAAGGAGATTGACATTAAAAAATATGCAAGAGTGGAAAAGGTAAACTTTTTCAGTGTGTGCTTTGGGGACAAATTATTTCCTAGCACAAATTTTCCCATTTCTGGAGGAAATAATTTTAAATCAGAGCTACATATCTTTAGTTAAAACTAAGAAGAGCTTTACTTGCTGCCTGGAAAACAGAAACCTAAAGAGTCTACCAAAGAGGAGTTCTAAAATAATTTTGTTACCTTCACTGCTATCCCTACACAAAATCTACAAGGGCAAGGAAAAGGTTTATTGGTGTCTCCATGTTCGTGTATTTGCATACATGTCTGTCCCTTGGTTAGAATAAAAACTTAACAAGGGACTCAATTGTATAATGCTAGTAAGCTCCAGAAAACTCTCTCCCGTTTCTCTATGAAAGATCCAAATGTAAGTTATAGCTTATGG